TAATATTTAGATACAGATTTAACATATATATTTAACATTTACCATTAAATATGAGGAAAATGCACTAAATGTGAAAAAAAAAATGCACTGATTCGTTTCTTTGTTTCCAGTTTACACTTGGCACCCCATAGATAGTAGCAGGCCTACTAACATTTAATGAAATCATATTTTATCATGTACAGTTTCAATGTAGTTACGGTTTAGTTCATGTATGAAATAAATCAACATCTGGATGTCATTAAGGAAACGCTGACTCGGGGTCAGCTGACTCCGGGGCGGAGTCACGTGACCTGCTGCTGTTTCAGTCGGGTTTCGAGCGGGCTGCTTTAACAATGTCTCCGCTTACTGAGTGTTTCTATTTGTCTTTCTTTCTCGTCATTGTTGTCCGCCAAGGTAAGATCTTTTAATTTAATTAGAACGGCTTTATATTTGATTATGTTTCTTGTTTTCACTTCAGCTTTTTTTTACATCGGTGACCGGGGAAACCGAAAGGATGACTGCCTGATGTGACCGTGTCTGTGACGTCTCTGCAGGGCTCTGCTCTCCCCGGCGGGCCGGCAGTGAAGCCTGGGACTATGTGGAAGTGAGACCCGGGGCTCACATGTTCTGGTGGTTGTATTATGCTGACAGTCCGTCCGCTCAGTACAAAGATCTGCCTCTGGTCATGTGGCTGCAGGTAGGAACGTTTTCAGCGCGTGACTTCTACTCCTGTGGCTCCGCCCACTCACTGTTAGAATCACAAAAAATATTAGACAGAAACAAACACATTTATAAGAGCTTTATTATCACAGTATTAAAGGCTAGCAGCCAGTGTGGTGGCCCACTTTGATCTTAGACTGTGCACTTGGAGAAAGTCTGCCATAAGCTCAAGCAGCAAATGTTCATGGGACATTTCATAAATTGATAAAATGTTGTTTTGTGGCGTTATAATGTTACAAATCTACATGTGTGGTTAAATCTAATTCAAATTTCTCTCATTGTTATTTGTATTTCATGTTTAATCTTAATATGTCAAAGATAAAGTCAGCACCATGAGTGAAAACTATCTGCACTACAGCCCTTTATATAATCATTGGGCCAATGGATGAAACGAGTGGAAATACTATGTTTCTACATAAGATGACAGGTTATATTACCTAGTAACTATGGCATCTGCTGGTGGGCCAAATCAAATAGCTTAGCGAGCCAAATTTGGCCCACAGGCCCCACTTTGGGCTCCTCTGATCTAGAGTGACTTCTGAGATTTTGATTTCTGAATTCTAGAATTCTGTTACTTTGATATTATAGTTTAACAAGGAATGGTTGTTGAATAACTAAAAAAAAACATTTTACCCTACCAGGAATGTTTTGAGTAAGTGGGAATTTTTGCAGCTTAGTTCGTGTTTGAAGTGTTTAAATGCTGGTAATTATTTTTAACCTATGAGGAACCTGCTTTGTACCATAGATGATAATGTCAGAGTGGTGTGACTAGATGAATAAGACTTTATTATATTATATATAAAAGATCTGTTCTATAAATACAGATTTCTATTTATTGCCTGCTGCTGCAGGGCCAGTGATGATGGTTTTTTTTTTTTTTTTTTGCTCATCTCTGTTCCAGACAATGACCTTGTCAGACACAAGCCTGGTTATAATTGTGTCGGATTTATAGATTCTGACCCACAATTTGGTGCGGTGGTAGCCGAGAGTGATCCCCAAATCATACCTGCAGCATTACACATTCTGAAATATTTTTACTGAAAACATTGGCAATAACTGTTGGTTTCAACAATATTTGTTTAGCAAAATAGCTCACAAACCACCTGAAATAATTTAAAGAAACTGGCCGTGTGCTCGGGTGTTTCTGTGACTGGTTTGATTATTATTTTTTATAACACTTTCACAGTCTGGTCACCCCTTAAGAGCACTTAGGACTATAAGGGTGGGTGTTGGATTTTAAGGATTCTGTATTCATTAGTCTCCCGACACACAAACAGTATGTGGCTGTTGCTTTATTAAATGTGACATTTGTTTCTGAGAACATACCTCTGCTGGTCTCTGTGCACTCAGGGTGGACCAGGAGGATCAGGGACTGGCTTTGGAAACTTTGAGGAGATCGGACCCTTGGACAGGGATCTGCAGCCCAGAAAGAACAGCTGGGTAAGATGATCACATTTAAAGGAACCAAGGAGCTGTGAGTGTTGAGGGAAAAACTGTTGACTTTGGATACGAATCATCTGACTTCAAGTTCAAATATTGACTTGTCTTTAAAAGACATCAAGAAATTCCTCATTTTCCAAAGTTCAGTTTAAAACAGATAACTGGGTTTATCAAAATGTCAATGTTTTCTTTGTAACAATGTTTGACATGACGCTGAAATATAAAATGACTTACAATGTGTGTGTATGTGTCCTTTAGGTCCAGGCAGCTAGTGTGTTGTTTGTAGACAACCCAGTGGGAACCGGTTTCAGCTACACAGAAAAGTCTGATAGATTTGCCACCAATGTGTCCACGGTGGCCTCAGACATGCTGGTGCTGCTCCAACACTTCTTCACAGCGAAGCCCGAGTTCCAGGTTTGTCCTCACACCATGTCATGGTGAAGATTAGGATTAAATATGCAGGACAACAGCAAGCTCTTAAAATCTTAACTAACTTTTATTTAACTTTAGTTGCTGTAGCTCAGGCTAGGCTTGTCACATCAAGCAATAAACAGTAGTACAATAACACAGACTGATATATTTCTAATGTTTAATTCTATTAATTTTGATTATTAAAACTGACAGCTAATGAAAATCCCTAAATCAGTATCCCAGAAAATTAGAATATTACTGAAGACCAATAAAAACAAAGGATTTATAGAAATGTTGGCCAACTGAAAAATATGAGCATGAGCACTTAATACTTAGCTGGGGCTCCTTTTTGCCTGGGTTACTGCAGCAATGTGGCTCAGGTGTTATGAGATCCCAGGTTGTAAAAACCTTTGCAGGTGTTTTGAGTTAATTAGCTGATTAGAGTGTGGCACCAGGTGTCTTTAGCAATGAACCTTTTAACAATATTATAATTTTTTGAGATACTGAATTTGGGATTTTCATTAGTTGTAAGTGGAAGTAGTAGTTATAATCATCAAAATTATTTAAAAACATTTGAAATATATCAGTCTGTGTGTAATGAATGAATATAAAACACAATTTTCACTTTTTGAATAGAATTATTGAAATAAATTAACTTTTTTCTTGATATTCTAATTTTATGTGAATAGGCATTTAGCTAGAAGAGCGTCTTGGGGTTTCTGACACCTTTCAGCTGATGATGCCTCAGAACGCCTTCAGGGCACAGTGCTAAACCTTGGCAGCTGTGACATCATCATCAGAGTGTGGGAAAAAAGGGAATTGTTTCAAACTAGAATCTTATTTTTTAATTCTTTATCAAAAATAACTTACTGGTGTGAAATAAAGCTACATTAGCTGACAGAAATCTCTGCACAACACCATTTGTTTAGCTTGTTGCTGTTTTCCATGTCACTAACCTTATTACATCTAATGCTAACCTTATTACCTCTTCCGCTAATCTTATTACATATAATGCTAACCTTATTACATCTACAGCTAACCTTATTACATCTACGGCTAACCTTATTACCTCTATTGCTAACCTTATTACATCTAATGCTAACCTTATTACATCTAATGCTAACCTTATTACCTCTTCCGCTAATCTTATTACATCTACTGCTAACCTTATTACATCTACCGCTAACCTTATTACCTCTATTGCTAACCTTATTACATCTACCGCTAACCTTAATACCTCTATTGCTAACCTTATTACATCTACCGCTAACCTTAATACCTCTATTGCTAACCTTATTACCTCTATCGCTAACCTTATTACATCTACTGCTAACCTTATTACCTCTACTGCTAACCTTACTACATCTAATGCTAACTTTATTACATCTACTGCTAATCTTATTAAATCTACTGCTAACCTTATTACATCTACCGCTAATCTTATTACATCTACTGCTAACCTTATTACATCTACCGCTAATCTTATTACATCTACTGCTAATCTTATTACATCTACTGCTAACCTTATTAGCTCTATCGCTAACCTTATTACATCTACTGCTAACCTTATTTCCTCTACCACTAACCTTATTACCTCTAACCCTAACCCTGTGACTTCATGGTTTCTCAGGGGAGCATGAGTGTCAGTAACATGTTTGATGTGCTGGTTTGACCTCTGTAGAGCATCCCCTTTTACATCTTCTCTGAGTCTTATGGAGGCAAGATGGCAGCTGCTATCGCCATGGAGCTCACAAAGGTTTGTGAATTTCTTGAAGTCTTAGAACAGTTTTTTTGTGAGGCATTTAGTTGTTTTAATCTCATGAGCAAAGGAAACAAACCTAAAATATATTTATAGTTGTTAATCTATGCAAGGCCGTAGTTTGAATAAGTGACTGAACCTGACATCGTATTTTGTCACAGGCTGCAGCCCAAGGATCTGTGAAGTGCAGATTTGCTGGTGTGGCTCTTGGAGACTCGTGGATTTCCCCTCTGGGTCAGTACAGATAAATCTGTAGGTCTGCCTTTGTTTAGGACTTTAATCAGAATCAGCTCTACATATTTAGACAGATGGACACACTAATGCATTTATTTTCAATTGTTGGGTTTTTTTTTTTTCACTTTAAAGTAGCAACTGAACTGGACACTGAATGTTCAAATGACCTGAGAAGTTTTATAAATACTTTTTTGTTATTTCCTGATAAGGTTTTCACCAATGTGTGTAGAGTTTTTGGTTTTAGATGCCCAAGTTTAAGATGTCGACAAACGGTAAAACCTGCTAGTGACGTGCCTCTGTAGGTGCCATTACTATTCACTGAGTCATGTCAACAAAATTATATCGTTCCACTGTGGGATGAGCATCTATCTGTCACAAAAATATTCGTAGCGCCCTTATTTCTTATCCAATTTCTATAAAATATGTCTTAAATTAAAGCTGAGAAAATTGCAGCTGTTGTGATATGTACAAATAAGTATTATAGGCTTTTTAATAAACAGTTGGACACTGTTTGACCCACAGTTTGTACAGCTCAGATTGTTAGAAAATCTAATG